ATACCACACATTAATATTAGCAAATAACTATTTAGTGCATAGCACCCGCAAAAAGAAATGGAGCAAATTGATACACTACATTTAAGATTACATTTGTGTTGTATCTATTAGTTATTCCATCAAAAATGTGTGCCACAGTTTATCTACTCATTCTACAAGAGCCATTTTATTTTAATGAATTGGTCAAATCTTACCACCAAAAATAATGTTGTGGTAAAAAATCATACTAAGGTAATTTCCAGGGATTTCATTTCAGCTCCTAATATAAAGTTATATTTAAGATTTAGAGAATACTTATAATATTTAGGACATTTAACTTATAAAGTTGATTTTATTTTATATTTCTAAATTATTTAAATATTTGATAAAATCTTATTTAACAATTATTTAAATTAGTTTAAAAATCATTTCAGTTCATTAAAATACTATGAAAATCATATGAAGATATATAGATAGATGATAAATAGATTAGATTAGATAGATCTATTTTTCTTCCAAAGATAGGAGTAGGTATATTTCCAACATTCTGACCTATTAAATTCATACCTTTTCTAATCAAACTCTGTTTTATATTTTTTTCTATAGAATATGTCTCAACTAGTTTTGTCAAAAGCACAGGACACAACGATGTTGAAGATGTATTTGTATTATAAATGTATTAGTATAACATTTTAACCTTCATCATTAAACCAGCTAGAAGTCTTCAGGACTTAACTGCATTCAATCTAATGCACATTAGTTAACAGAATTTCTATCACACCATTATTTGGGAACATTTAAAAATGAGAGGTAGCTAATGATATATGCAATGAAGTTGTTTTAAAATTAATATATTCATATGTCATATTAGATTAGGCAAGTTATACAATCATGTAGTACAACTACCTACCTGGAAATTGAGTTTCCTTAGAGAAATGCATATGGATAAAAATTTAGACACTTAAAACTTGTTTATCAAATTATATTATCCACAATAAGTAGTTTATACAGATGTTTCATTGTTATATTCACATTTTTATTTCTATTTTCATTATACAATAAAACATTAACATTATAAAATGATTTTCACTTACAGTGCTTCAAATAAATAAAACATAACCAGTTAAATAAAGTAAAACATAACCAGTTAAACAGCTTGTTAGATCAACATTTTTTAACATTCACCGTCTGCAAGATAAGTGTGACATATAATGTATATAATATAATTATATTAAAAAGTAAATATGTCAAGTTTTATTGAAATTAAATACTGGATCATTACAGATGCTTCCTAATATAAACAATAGTACACATGAGGAAAAAAAATCAAGTAATACCACACGTTAATATTAGCAAATAACTATATAGTGCAAAGCACCCGCAAAAAGAAATGGAGCAAATTGATGCACTACATTTCTTCTAACTACATTATTCCAAGTGTGATTTTACCAAAAGAAAAGAGATCAGAAATGGACAGTGCCCACTAAAATACTAACAGGGCAATGAATCATAATAGAAAAACAGTTTTTAAATTCATGACAAACAGAATATACATATATTATATGTAGGGACAAAGCTGTTGTTATATATATTTTATTTATATTATAATATATAATATGTATAACACATTATATATATTATTTATATTATATGGAGGGACAGAGGTGTTTTATATATAATATATATTACATATAAATATACAGTACATTTATATATATATATATATATAAAGTCAGACTCCATCTCAATTAAAAAAATATACTCTCTCTATATAGTATATTTTTAAAACTGAGATGGAGTCTTGCTCTGTTGCCCAGACTGGAGTGCAGTGGCTCAATCTTGGCTCACTGCAACCTCGGCCGCCTGGGTTCAAGCAATTTTCATGCCTCTGCTTCTCAAGTAGCTAGGACTACAGGTACAGGCCACCACGCCCGGTAATTTTTTTTTTTGTATTTTTAGTAGAGATCGGGTTTCACCATGTTGGCCATTCTGGTCTCGAACTCCTGACCTCAGGTGATCTGGCTGTCTCAGCCTCCCAAAGTGCTGAGATTTCAAACATGAGCCACTATGCCCGACCAACAAATTTTGTATATATGTGTTGTATATATACACACATACGCATATACACACACACACACATATATATATTATATATATAGAGAGAGAGGCTCCATTCATTCCACATGAATACCAGGTTTTGTTTTATGAAATTACTTTCATTGAAGAAAAAGACACATTAACAAAATATTATGAGACTCTACTAAAAAAGGTTTCATGTGAGTATAATGGATGGCATATGCTTGGGAGTTATGAGTACAACAGAAAAACACAAACCATTCTCGAGTTGCAAGGAGGAAAGTAGAACATATTCCCAAGAAACAATAGATACGCAGCAATGAATGGAACTTAGCCAACAGGAAAGGAGGGACAAAGCTGTTTTATAAAAAGGTAAAAATATATACATATATATGAATGTTATGGAGATGTGAGAAAAACAGAGTGAGTTCAGGAATTTCAAATAGTTCAATATGGTTGAAGGTCAGCATGCTTAACAGAGAGTAGCAGAATGAAATGAGAACACTAGACAAAGTCTGGATCACATAAGATGTTAGATTTTATCCTGAACAAGCAATAAAGAGCCATTTGAGTGGCTTAAAACACAGGGAGTAAATAATCAGATTTACGAATTAGTCTAAAACTTTAGAAAGTTTTGGGGAAGCCACTCTGAAAGGACAGCAAATCGGAGGCTATTGCAACAAATTCTGGTATTCAGAGTTTCACAGTGTGCTCTGAGCAGAATAATTTACCTGTGAGATTGTCAGCAAGAAAGAGGTTCTGTAAAATACGTCATATTTTACGCGGCTCTTGGCAATTCACAAAGTATTCTAACAGTATCTTACAATTAAGAAATACATCTGTTTGTTTAATGCACTTCCCAATTTTTGTTTTCTTTTTCTTCCTTTTTTAAAATAGGTAAATCATTTTTACATAACATTTTATTAAGAATCAAATAATTAGTGGCCTATAATACAAGCTATGGGAAATTTTACCCTAAACAGATGGGTGCTAGGGTGAAGAAAGAGAGACGCAAAGGATATGAGAATTATTTCCAAGGCAGAATGAAAAAACGTAGGTATGGACTAAATGTGGGAAATGAAAAACAAGGAAATTTAGAAAATCCCCCAGTTTTCAGCTTGAAAAATTGAGGATTTGTTGTTTACATAGTTTATATCAATGAATAAAATATAATTTTGTAAATGAGCAAAGAGAGAACTATGAAGAAAATTTGTAAATTCTATTTATGTCTTTGTGGTAAACTACCTAAAAGTTAATGCTCTAGAACAAAAGGAGAAGATAATTTGTAAAGGATTGAGTTATAAAATGGCCAATGTTATTAAAAACTCTTATAATAAAAGTTTGAAATAACGTGTGGAGTGAGAGCTAGCACATGGAGCTATTAGCAATAATTGAGGAGTGTGGCAGCTGCAAATTCGTAGGTACCAGGTAGCTGAGAAAACCTGTCGCAGAAGTTTAGAAAGTGAAGAGAAAGCGCAGAGGGTGTAACAGAAGAAACAGTATAAAACAACAAAAAAAGACGATTCCATTTAATCATTACATCATGTAAACATATAAGAGAACATCATTCATTTCCTGTAAATATATAAAATTATTATTGCAAATAATAATAAACAGAACACTTAAGTGAAGAGATGAAAATAATTTAGACAATAGTAGGAGAATAATTAGGTAAACCTGTCAATTTCTTTTTTGACTCCTTCATGGCTTCCAAGTCCTTTAACAACACGTGAGCACTGATGTTTCCTGTCCATTATCCTCTGTTCCCCTATCTTCAAACGTCCATATTGTATATTCTTACACCCTTATTGTCCTTCAGCAACTTTCTAAGTACTGAATCTTTTTCAACCCTGGTCCAACCCTGATTCCTCCCTGTGCTACAGAATTATATCTCCAAACATCCACTGTTCATATCCCCTTAGATGTTCCTCTCTCACCATACGCTAAACATGTGCAAAATAAAACCATTTCTTGGAATGACAATCAGATCAACTCCCTCCAGTTTCCAAAACGATTGAATGGCTTCTCATGTCACTCCTCTAGCAGCCAAACACCTTAGGCACTGAACTGGGCCTACATGGTCTCAAAAGCTAAAGCCTTTCTGAACTCAACTTCTATTAATTCTTCTACTCTCTCCTCTACACTACTTTACTTCACTTCAACCACACGCAACTTGTAACTGTCGTCTTCCTCCTCAATGATCAGAAGCTTTCCCCTTCTTATTCAACCTCTCTGCAATGCTTTATGCACTTCTATCACTGCATGGCTCGCTCTTACATTATCAGGTTTTCACTCATATGCCTTGTTATCAAGTAGATTTCCCTCAGTCATCTTGTCTTAAAATGGCATTGCTTCTCTTGTGCCCAGGGATTCTCTACCCTTATTTATTATTTCTCCTAATAAGAATCAGGCATACACCATTATACATCTTATTATTTTATAATGACTCAATTGATTATAAGCTCTTTGTAGATAGCTCTGCCTTTTGGTTCAATGTTACAGCCCTAGCACCTACATCGATACCTGACATACAGAAGATACTGAAAAATATTAGTTGAGTCAGTTAATATTTAAATTTAACTTATGAGTTAAATACAACACTTTTTTAGTGCAATCAATATGTGATAGTTCAAATCTTTGAATTATTGAGGGAATGAACAAAATTTTAAAGGTTTATTTTATCAACAAAGAAATCAAACTTGGAATAAAGCATGCTAGAAGAAGTTTTGGTGAATGAAAATTTCTGTACACCTATTAGTAAATCTAAGTATTTGCTCATCTGAAAAAATGGGAGATAGAGTCATTATGATTGCTGTCAATAAGATCAAATTAAAGTAGTGAAGTTGTGAGAGGAAGGTAGTTAAACTTTATTATTTGTCAGAATAATAAAATGGATTACCTCGACATTGGTTAATTCGTGCATGCATATTAAAAAGTAGTCCTCCCTCAGCGCCATTTTGTGGCAGCGAGACCCACAAATAAAGGGGAGCGCAGGGGTTGCGGCGGGTCAGGCGGCAGAGCTGTCCGGCTGCGCGGGGGCCCGGGCGGAAGGGCAAGCAGCGTGGCCTCGGCCTATGCGACTGGCGGCGCCGGCTTGGCTTCTGCCTGAAGAGGATTCAAGATGACCAACGAAGAACCTCTTCCCAAGAAGGTTCGACTGAGTGAAACAGACTTCAAAGTTATGGCAAGAGATGAGTTAATTCTAAGATGGAAACATTATGAAGCGTATGTACAAGCTTTGGAGTGCAAGTACACAGATCTTAATTCTAATGATGTAACTGGCCTAAGAGAGTCTGAAGAAAAACTAAAAGCAACAACAGCAGGAGTCAGCACGCAGGGAAAACATCCTTGTAATGCGACTAGCAACCAAGGAACAAGAGATGCAAGAGTGTACTACTCAAATCCAGTACCTCAAGCAAGTCCAGCAGCCGAGCGTTGCCCAACTGAGATCAACAATGGTAGACCCAGCGATCAACTTGTTTTTCCTAAAAATGAAAGGTGAACTGGAACAGACTAAAGACAAACTGGAACAAGCCCAGAATGAACTGAGTGCCTGGAAGTTTACGCCTGATAGCCAAACAGGGGAAAAGTTAATGGCGAAGTGTCGAATGCTTATCCAGGAGAATCAAGAGCTTGGAAGGCAGCTGTCCCAGGGACGTAGTGCACAACTTGAAGCAGAGTTGGCTTTACAGAAGAAATATAGTGAGGAGCTTAAAAGCAATCAGGATGAACTGAATGGCTTCATCATCCAGCTTGATGAAGAAGTAGAGGGTATGCAGAGTACCATTCCCGTTCTGCAGCAGCAGCTGAAGGAGACACGCCAGCAGTTGGCTCAGTACCAGCAGCAGCAGTCTCAGGCCTCTGCCCCAAGTACCAGCAAGACTACAGCTTCTGAACCTGTAGAACAGTTGGAGGCCACAAGTAAAGACTGCAGTCGTCTGACAAACGGGCCAAGTAATGGTAGCTCCTCCCGCCAGAGGACGTCTGGGTCTGGATTTCACAGGGAGGGCAACACAACCGAAGATGATTTTCCTTCTTCTCCAGGGAATGGTAGTAAGTCCTCCAACAGCTCAGAGGAGAGAACTGGCAGAGGAGGTAGTGGTTACGTAAATCAACTCAGGGCGGGGTATGAAAGTGTAGACTCTCCCACGGGCAGTGAAAACTCTCTCACACACCAATCAAATGACACAGACTCCAATCATGACCCTCAAGAGGAGAAAGCAGTGAGTGGGAAAGGTAACCGAACTGTGGGTTCCCGCCACGTTCAGAATGGCTTGGACTCAAGTGTAAATGTACAGGGTTCAGTTTTGTAATATTTTTTCAGCAAATTTTTATACAGTGTCATTTAATTTGGGAGAGGATACTGTCCAGAAAATTAATGCAAACTTTTGTCACAATTTGCCTTTTTGTGGGTGTACGTTTTGGTTTTTTGTTGTTGTTTTCTCTTT